AGGCCGCGGAGCTGCCCCCGGCCGGACGCCACGCTCTGCGGGGCCTCCCTCCGCCGCTCCGGGAGGCGAGCCTGCCTTTAGAAATAAGCCAGGGATCGCGGCTCCTCGGAGGCCAGCCCCTCTCTGTCTGAGAGCCGGGCGGTGCCAGGGCCAGACGCGGATTTTAGGCAACTTTTAGCAGGGGGGGTGAAGAACTTACCCATCCGCGCTCTGCGAGCAAACGGGGAGAAATTTGAGAATGTACTGCTGAGAAGACTACGGGATGGAGCGAACTTCAATTCTTTACCCCCATTCTGGGGGCTGTAGGGGAAAGTTATATGCAAAGGGGGTGCTCGGAATGGTGTTTTGGGGAAAGGAACACAGGAGATGAGGAGTGCAAGGGGGTGCAGGCTCTTAGGGAAACAGTGGTCATAGCAGGTGCATAGACTCTGCCACTTGACGCAGAAATATCAAAATAATTGACATCCACAAATGGCTATTGGGAGTTTTATGTAATATTTTTCTCTGGGGAGCCAAGTGTGCACTTATTGTAGGCGCCATTTCTTACCACATGCTTTAAGCGGGAATAGAACGATTTTTTTTTTTACATCACCTGGGAATGGTAGTGTGGGAACATGATCTGACACGCTTAAAAGTACTGCCTCCAAATCTACGGTTTCTAGACCAAAGTACAAAGGGGAAGAAGGGATGGGCTGCTGCTCCAGCACCTTGCTAAGGTCAGGTTGCTCCAAAGAATGGAGAGGAAAGGGGGGAGGGGACTGGAAGTGGGCTGTCTGGATGAATGATTGAGGTTAGTTGCACTCCAATGGGACAGCCATTCAAAAGCCATTCTGATATAACCATGACATTAAGAGTAGGGTAACTACCAAAGAAGGGGGAATGTTAGAAGCAACCAGCACAAACATACCTGGGAAATAAAGCCAAAGAACCGGGGAGCATCAAGCCAACTGGAGGCAACAGGATAGACACAGGTGCGGAGCAAACGATGGGAAAGGTGGTTGGTTACACCTGGCTGGCCTCAGGGAGCCCAAGAGCTTTCATTCAGCCCAATAAAGCAAATCCCTTCAAGAGAGGATTTTTTTTTCTTCCTTTGAGATTATGTTAGAGGCTGGGTCCTTTTCCCAGAAAAGTATCTAGAAGAGATTTATGTTTGGTGAAGTTCTAAGATCTCTTTAGAGTTATAAGAGGCAATGAAAGATTCGATATGATAATGGTTCGGTCAATAATCCCACTTGCTTCTTCCCCCACCTCCCTTTAAAACCAGAACTTTAAAAACCTGAAGAAGATATCTGAGATGTCTCTAAAGTAAGAAAACAGTCTACACCCCACTCTAGGGTGATATCTCTCTCTCTCTCTCTCTCTCTCTCTCTCTCTCTCTCTCTCTCTCTCTGAAGCCTTGTCAAGTTTTATTCCAGTAGTCACAGGCTGAGTACTATGCTGATTGAGTGGAGCATAAAGATGTTATCGTGCTTAAACTATGATGAAATCGTTGAAGGTATCATCCCAAAAAGCAAATCCCTAGGAAAGATATTAAGTTATCACTTTAAGTTCAAGTAGGAATGTAAATTCTACCTTCTGAAGGGAATATTCTTTATATAGTTAAAGGGCTATTTTAAGGGACTATCTAAAAATAATAGTGACTATTTCTTTGTCCTTTTGACCAAACTCTCCAAAGATAGTCCATGAGTGGGTTGCTGTGTAAAGAATATGAAACAGCCTGTCCTATTACATTTTAGGAGAAATCAACTAGTTTTATTTGCTTTCTACTTGGTACCCACCACTGTGGCTTTATCCAACAAGTGTATAGATCTACATTAGTATTAAATACTACCAAGCTGGGATTGCCTTGACTGGGTATGTATCTGTAATAGTCTGTGTAGATTAACTTAACAAAATACCACAGACTGCCTGACTTAAGAAATTTGCTTTCATGTCACTGAAAGGAGTCCAAGATCAAGGTCTGATACAGTCTGTTTCTGGGGAGGGCTCTTTGCTTGTAAACTGCTGCTTTCTTGCTGAGTGTTCACAATTGGTATACACGTCTCCTTTTAATTTAAAGATGTTTTAGATTTGTTATTTTATTAGTTTATGTTTATGTGTTTCGCCCAAATGTGTATATGAGCACCATGTGTGTGACTGGTGCCCACAGAGGTCAGAAGAGGGCATTAGATCACCCAGAACTGGACATACAGATGGCTGTGAGCTTCCATGTGGGTACTGGGAACCAAACTTGGGTCCCCTGCAAGAGCAACAAGTGCTCTCACTTGCTGAGCCGGTTCCCCAGCACCCCTGACCTCCAATTCCTTTTATAAGGCTACAAAATGTACAAACAAGAGCCTGCCCTTCTGACTTCTTATAACCTTAATTATCACCAATTAAAGGCCACATCTCCATATCTAGTCGTATTAGAGTCGGGGCTTCAGCGTAGAGATGTTCAGCAGTGTTGGTGTGTTTGGATATAGTGTCTGGGTTGGGGTGTCCTGGCAAACTCTTTAGATCTAGCTCTGCTCGGTACTTACAAGTTCCCAGAAACTTCAGAACCACAGGTTTACATGTTCCTGGAGCTTGGGGTAAGACTAGGCAAATATTCAATGACATCATGCAGGCCAAACATCTTATTACATGACCATCCAAAACCAGGTTGAGTATAAAGATTAAGCATAGGTTTTAATTTTTGACAAAGACAGGTAATTTGGCCAGAAAACATTAAATAGCCGTAACATAAATCTTAAAATTCTCTGGAAACTCTGTCGTAAGAGAAAATAAATAGTATTATGAAAATTCCCATCTTTATTTAGCGCCCCCATTTCCCGAAAGAAATATGACATGAGCCATATGTATAATTTGGATTTCTGTATTAACAGTAAAGTACAATTCAATTTATTTCATTAATACATTTTATTTAACTGAAACCATTAAACTCTTACCATTTGGACATGTAACAGAATGTTCTTGAGATGTTCTATATTCTTTTTGTACAAAGTTTTGAAACTGGTATGTGAAGTGTATTTTACAGTTGGAGAACAAATCCATTCAAACTACCTAAATTTCAGGTGCTTAATAGCTCAGGTCATCCATGGCTACCATACTGGATAGCTTCTAATTAGAGAAACTTCAGGATTTGAACCAGTGTGTATATAATTGTGACTATAACATGTTACCTTTCAACTGTTCCATTAACCCTCAAACAGGAAGAAAGAAGTAAAAGCAACATCATCAGTCTTAAACTATTCATACCTCTGGATTCCCTGGAACTGAAAGTGTAGTCAGTCCCTAAGTAGATTCTGGGCATCCCTAGTATTCACCTTAGCTTTCAGTTTTATGACAGTCATTCGTCTTAAGGCTCATAGTATAGATAACTAAACTGTGGCACTTATCTCTTAGTTTATCCTTCGACCTCATATAGGTTCACATTCTGGTTTACATTTAGTGATAGTAATTTAAAATAATGGAAAACGTTATACAGAGAAACCCTGTCTCAAAAAACCAAAAAAAAAAATGGAAAATATATTTATAAGAGATTATATCAGTGAAATGGGATTTAAAAGTGTTTCCTTATGTTCCTTTAGGAACATTATTTATATAGGATGTAATTCTCTTAATCACTGTCCAAGTTTAGTGTATATTAATGATTGTTTTCATATGATTGTTGTTTTTCTCAGTGATATTAGGATGACAGTCCAGTTTCCAAACTCTTAACAAGTGATAGTTAGCCTGTCACTGTCTATTTCTTTAAAGTTTTTTATTCTCTTCCTTCTCTCTCTCTCTCTCTCTCTCTCTCTCTCTCTCTCTCTCTCTCTTTTTCTTTCTCTCCTTTTCTTTAGACCTAAATTAAATACAGTAAAGAATACAACTCTTATGTGGATGCTTTGTTTTATTTTACTAATACAAATGTCCACGCACCCACCACACTATTGAAAACGTGGAATTTTCAAAAGAGCAAGTTCTACAACCTCCCTAGTACATTCACCCCACTCTAGAAAAATATAACTCTTAACATTTGTCACCATAGCTTGCTTGTGCCTATGGATGAACTAATGTTAGTGGAATCATGTATTTTATACTGTTTTGCATCTTGTTGCTTCTGCTTAACATGTCCCAGAGATTTACTCCTCCCTCCACCTGGGGTAGGTAGTTCATTTCTTTTGCTTTGCTGTACATTGTTGTATTAAAGGACTATAGCACTTAAAAAAAAACCATTCTACTATTGATGGCTTTTGCCCCATTTTTGCTCTATCTTTTGGTGCATCTCGTGTATATATGAGTATATATACTCATATGAGTATATAGTATATATAGGGTATCTAGCCTTTATATGAGTAGAGTTGATGAACTATAGTATATGCATGTTTTTTAAATTTAGAAGACTACAGTTTTCCTTAG